ATAGCAGATTCCTAAGGCAGACTCATCACATCCAAATTGTCAGAGTCTTTAAGGACCAGTTAGCCTGTGACCTCCTCACTGGGAAAGTGACAAATGATCCTGCAGATAAGAGCCAAAACGAATGCTCCAAATGCAGTAAATCTGCCACCCATGCAAAAGCAAGGGGCCTCAGCACACTTCAAGGGAGGAAGTTAAATCTATAAATACAGAACTCACTAATCTGTGAGAAAAACTAGCATACATCAAAACAACAATTCTGACACCCCTTCCCAGTGCTGGTAGTGATATGGAAGTCCAGCCGCAACTTAATACCTCTGCCCCATTGAGCTGGCTCATCTTCTAAACTATCTCAAACCGCTGCCTGTTTTTTGTTGCCAGAAATCTACTCTGAAGTCCTCACCAATAACAATTAAAGTGACACTGTCATTGACTGTCGTGAGAACTTCACACCAGAAATATTCAAGGAATCCATGCAATCCTAAGTAGTTGATACCCAAAAGGATCTACTTTGCAAGCAAAATAAACCCACACTATTGTTACAACCCAATCTGGAGGTAATCCCTCATCTTCTTCCCCATCTCAGGAGACTGTCCTAGCATTGAGGGAACCTGACTCACAGGAATAACAGTTCCCCTCACCTCTTTTTTCACTACACAAGCCAAAGGATGCTCCCCCTGCTAAAGAATTGTTATCTCTGTTTGCCAGTGATCTGCATTTTGCTTCTAATGCTGCACTGATTCTTCCAGTCTCCATGCCAGAACTGCAAGCTCCCCTGCCACCTCATGAGGAGAAGAGAGGCTTGATGGCCAGATATATGGTAGAAAAGGGAGAGTAGGATTTGATCATATCCTACCTTCCTCCCCATAGAGGGAGACACAGGTACAACCACCTCAATCATCGTCTAATGTGAAGCTACCACCCCTGCAAAAATTACTCGTCCAGCCCCTGGTTTGCAGTGCAACTGCTTGACATTCAAGTAATAAGGTCACCCTTCTAACCTGGAATGTGGCTGGGTGATTTGCATCTACCAGAGATTCTTGCTTTATTGCCTTCCTCTCCCACCATGACATCATATTGATTCAGGAAACATGGACTGTCAGAAGAGCAAAAGGGGGCCCGGTGTCCTAGTCTCTCTAAAAGCCATATCCATGCCCCCCCCTTATTCCATTCTCCTCCCCCATTCAAGTTGTATGCCATGGCAATTTTAATCCAATTCAACTACCATGCCCTGTTGGTAATAAATGCTTATGTGCCCCCAACAAGGTGGGAACCCTAGATCAAAGCCTTGGGGGCTGATCTGGAAACTTACGCTGCTGATCTTGTACTGTGAAATTCAAATGCATTGTAGTCCTCAGCCCCAATGATTATACCCTCTATTCATAGCACAAGCATCCCCCTCCCAAACCTGAAGCTGATAGATTCCTCTTCACCCGTTGCTGAGAAGATCAGAAATGAAACAGAAATCCAAAAACAAATATGACAAAGATTAAAGTGGATGAGAAAGTTCTTGGTATGGGGCTAAGGGCAGCCAAAAAGTTTTCTCATTATGGCTGCTGGAATCACCTGAATCAGTTCTTCTAGACAATGCAAAGGAAACCTCTATGATTTTAATGACCGCACCCCATCCTCCTTAGGCTGGTCAATAACTGTAATAAAATATTTCATTTCATTTGATTTGATTACCTAAGGTTTGTTTTTGTAACAACTTTGGCATCTTGATGATGTACAGGGCATGATACTGCAAAGCCTGTCCTGGAGCTGGCAGAGCTGGTCTTGCATGTGACATTTAGAGTGCTGAAGCAATTGAGGCCTAGGGCCTTGAACATTTATTTTTGGCTAATGTCTCAGGAGAAGCAAAAACATTCTTGGCTGCCTTGTCTTCTATTAGGACTGTGTCATCTACCCTTACTCAACTAGGGCACATTTTGACCCCCTTTTTTTCTAAGAACTGCAAGTAACGAAGCAAGCAATCCGCTATTTAGAGAACTGGTGGCAGAAATCGAAAAACCGATATGACAGTTAGTTTTTATAGTAGGTGAGATAAGTGATACCATTAAGGAAAAAAATTGGGAGAATGTCATCATACTTTCTTGTCTAGTTTTTTAGATTGGTGTACTTTCAGGATGTGGACAGGGTGCTTGGACAGGTTTGGCTACCACATGTCTTTTAGATTCAGCTCCCTTTGCCTGGAGGCTGTGGGGATCTGGATGGGGGAAAACAGGCTTTAGGTTAACTCTGACAGGACTGAGTGGCTGTGGATCTAAGTCCTCCTGGTTCCTGAGATCAACACTGCCTGGGGGTGCACTTCCCCAGTCAGAATCAGTGCAAGACTTGGGAGTAGTTCTCGATACATGGCTTCTGCTTGACAACGGGTGACAACCATGGCTGGG